GGAGGCGGGGCGTGCTGTGCTGTGGCGCCCGCCCGGAGCGGAGCGCGGGGGAGCGGAGCGCGGTGCGGCCGGCGCTGGGCTGCGCCTTCCCGGGCGCCCGCAGTAAGCCGGGGCGGTGGCTGCCGGCTCCCCTCCTGCGCCTGGCGGGTCAGGAGCCCTCGCTGTATCGCTCGCAGCAGAGGAACGAGGGCTCCGCGGGGAAAAACAGGCGTGAGAGGCCCTACAGCTGCAGAGGAACGGTACGTACGGTCGCTGCAGCGCTGCTGCATCTGGGTGCTCCCTGCTCTTCTGGTCCTCGCAAGCTTTCCAGAGGCTTTGGTTCAAATTTTCTCGACGGCCGCAGAGCGTTGCTGCTGCGTGAAATTGCAGCTGGGACCCCTGCAAGCACTCGGCTAACTGAGAAGAGCTGTGCTGGCCTCGTTCTTGTGGAGCTTTGTGAGAGCAGAGCTGTTGCCTATCTTGAGATTGCATTTTCCTTGCTCCTCTCTCGTGTCTACTTGCAAGATTTCTCCATGCCCAAAGAAAATATTGAAACCCTCCTGACACCTGTGTGACACATAGAAGTTATTACCTAAGTTTTGACCTAACTCTTGGCGATAAGCCTGTGTTGTTCACTTAGTCTTTCTTCACCAGAGATATAACAGAATCAGATTAGAGGTTTTTTTAAGAAACCTGATAGCTCTCTGGACGAAGTAATAAAACCGTAGATAAAGGAGACTTAATGAGCAAAGCTTACACAGTTTTCCAAAAGCCTTTGGCAAGTGTCTCTGTACTATCAAGTCCAGAACAGTTTACTTTCCTTAAATGAAAAATAACTAAAGTGCTTCCATAAATGCGTATACCTGTGCTGACTCTGTACCCTAAAAAATGATGGATGCTTGCAAGCGTTTACCTTCTTTCTCTTCTCGGATTTGCTCTTGATGACACTGAGAAGCAATTTATAAAGGGTTAAAATAAAGTTTTCTTCTTCCCTGTTCTATAGTAATGTATTTATACTTAGTCACTTCAGAAAGTATGTTACCTTTTCTGTATTTGTGTTAGTGAATAGTTTTTGTTAACTGCTTTATTTATTTGTTTGTTTGCTGTACAGCCTTCCTCTTCTAAGCTACTCTTTGCCAGGATTGTTACAAGAAGTGTATTCAATAGCAGAGTGAGCATCTTTCAGGCTTAGCTTCAGTAATTTTTCAGCTGCTATTGTTGCATGTTGTATTAGTAGGAATACAAAAACAGTGGTATTTTTATGTTTTTCTGCAGCATCCAGGGAAGAAAACATCTGAGAGTCACTGTGGATGGTACTCTGAAAAATCAGTTCAAAGTGTAGTGAAAGTCAAAAAGCAAATAGAATGGTAGAAATTATCAGGTAAGGAATTAAGTGCAGAATAAAAGACCATGTGTGGAGAAGGTGAATAACCCCAGAGCTGCACAAAGCTGGAGACGAGGGGAGTATTCAGGTAGTTTTAATTGCTTTCTTGTCCTGCCCGTGTACTTTATCTGGGCATCTGACAGACTGTTGTTCTACTGATGTGTTTTATTTTCCCCATTAGAATTT